CCCAACCCCAACCCCAAACCCAAACCCAAACCCAAACCCAAACCAAAACCCAAACCCCAACAACCCCAAACCCCAAACCCAAACCCAAACCCAAACCCATTCCATACACCCCTCTAAAGTAGCAAGACGTCTGACTTAGAAAAAATTCTCAGTTAATGTAGCATACTCTTCTATAAAATCACAGCTTCAGATGAATTCATTATTGTCTTTTTTTTTTTCAAGATAGAATTTTCAAATCATTGCTTGACATTAATATCTGTTATCCCTTGTTACTCTGTGCAATTCTTGTACATAATGTTCAAGCATATGAAGGAATTCTTTTTTTATATAAGCAGTTAATAAATTCTTACACATTATGAATTTGAATATATGCATCTTGTGAAAAGCAGATGCAAAAACAATTAAAAAGGTATAGAAGATGAATAATTTAAGCATGCATTTAGGCTTTAAGTGCCTCAAATACAAGATGAAGTAATTTCGTTAAGTAAGGATTTGAAGTCCTAATCCAATAAGTAAGTAATGTTTAATATACATCAAATCCAATTATAAAGACATTTATCTTATCCAGTTAGAGCTTGATGGTCAGTCTCCTCCATTAGAGTCATAACAAAGAGGTGTATCCAGTTCTTTGGCCAAATATTTAAAAATCCTTTGTTGTTTTAGTTTACAATTTACACTGCATCCACTTGCAGATTTAATAAGTGAGCCTCGTATAGCTGCTTCTTGTTATAAAAATTAAATTGCGAATATGAAATCAAGAATAATAAAATCCTGTAATAAAGGATGACATCTATTTATTTGATTTAGAAGAAAGATAAGGTAAATGGCACTAAGAATATAAACTCTTTTCGACACTTTATAAAGCCTGAATTTGAACCAACAACATTAATTGGCACCATTAAACCATCACTACGATAAGCGCTTTTAGTTGCTGATTCAAATCACCATATAAAATCTGCTAATTTACTTTAAGACCAAATATATTCACTACTGTTTTGAGCCAATTGTAAAAAATCTGTTGCAATATAGAATTAGAGATTTTTTAATCTTGTGATGATCAATCCTATAAATGTGAATCTTTTGTCTGCTTTTGTCTCATTTTTGTTTTGCTTGAAGTTCAGAAATACCCCTATTTGTACCATCTTTTTGCTCCTTGTGCCACATGAGCCCACTTTGGAACTACCTATAAGTCAAGCTGTGTTAAGGCATTAAATCTAAATCGAAATGCATGAGGGATATTTATAATTCCATTGTTAAATGCTCAAGTAATACTAGTTGTTTATCATGTGACGATGCATCCTTGTTATGCGGTAGTTAAATATGTACTATTTGCTCCAACTAATTTGTCAAATAGATGGTAATGAAACAAAAGATCATGTAAATTAAAGAGAAAAAATATATAATCATAAAAGCATAGTGAATTTAACTCGCCTTAATCATTTATAAATTAATTATTCTAATTGTAATAATTTATTTTAGCTATCTGATTCAAGAGTTGTGTTGAGAAATTTTATTGATAACTAATGCTTTTTCTGTTCTGAGTTTGTTCAAGAGTATGAATTTAAGAATGTAAATTAATTTTTTTTATCTTTTATGCACCTTCCTGATTTTATTTTTTGAATTTATTATTATTTAATAAATCGATTAATATTAGGAGTTTTTCATAAGTAGGTAAATTTTGTATACTTAATGACTTTTTCTGATTAAATGATTTATATAATCCAATTATTATCTTATGGTATTTTCTATCTGAAATAATAAATACAATTTACTCTTTATATTCTTGTTTATGATAAATTTCTTTCCTTAAATAAATTGAGTAAGAGAATGAAATTTAAAAGTATTGTAATTTCAAAAATTTTACCTCTTTTTTGTTGATTAGAAGGCAGGTCCCGTTAAATCCCCTGTCTATTTACTAATAACATTGCTAATGGCTGTCTCCAATTTTGCATTTTTTCTAACTGCCCTGAACACAGTACTATCATTAGATAGGTTGTTACTCACTAGATAGGTAGTTACTAAATATTAAAAACTCACCAGGTAGGCAGTATTAGATAGTAAATCCAAACTCAATTGCAAGTAGATAGCTTCACTAAAATTTAAGAATTATAAATTTATCATCGATGTCATAGTTAGCTTCAATAATTTTCTTAGAGATATAATTAGAAATTTAAGAGTCAATTTGATTTAAAATAGATGATACATAAGAATTCGGAAAAAGAAGAACTGAATTGATAGAAAACTGAAATTATTCATAATTAAAAAAGGATTTTCATTATATCTTACAATCATAATTAGGAATATAAGTTAACTCTTTATTAATTCTCTAAAATTATCCCTCCTCTTTATTGAAACAATGCTCGTAAATTTATTCCTTTTTAATTTTGAAATTCTCCCTTCAAGATTAGAGCACTTTAAGATTAAAAGATTGGCTACTGTGATATTATAAGGATGGTCAAATTTAATATAACTTCATAATAGTTAAAAAGAAATACCACTTTCTTGTAGAGAACTTTTTTTCAAAATTTCAGGTTTAAAATAATCTAAAATAAAGTTATAACGATCATCTGATGAAATGATTTGTTATCCTGTTTAAACATCCCATAAAAGGATAGAATTAGCTTGACTACCAGATGCTAATATGATACCATCAGGGGAGAGACAGACTGTTGTGGCTGTATCTTAATGACCATCTAATTTGGATTTTTATTCAACTGTCTTAACATCCCATAAACGGATAGAATTATCAAAACTACTAGATACTAGTGTAGTGCCATCTGGAGAGAAATTGACTGAAGTAACACATCTATAATGACCATCTAATTGGGCTTTTTTTTATCTAGTTTTAACATCCCATAAACAGATAGACTTATCATAACTACCAGATGCTAATACACTGCCATCTGGAGCGAAACAGACTTAACTAATTTCATCTTGATGGCCATATAATTTGGCTTTTTATTATCCCTTCTTAAAATCCCATAAACAAATGGACATATCACGACTACCAGATGCTAATGTACTACTATCTGATGAGAAACAGATCGAATTAACACTCCTATCATGACCATCTAATCTGGCATTTTATTATCCTGTCTTAACATCCCATAAACGGATAGAATTGTCCTAACTACCAGATACTAATGTAGTACCATCTGGAGAGAAACAGACTGACATGACAAAACAATCATGACCATCTAGTTTGGCTTTTTATTCAACTGTCTTAACTTCCCATAAACGGATAGACTTATCATAACTACCAGATGCTAATGTATTACCATCAGGAGAGAAATTGATTGAAGTAACTGCATATTCATGACCATCAAATTTGGCTTTTTATTATCCTGTCTTAATATCCCATAAACGGATAGAGCTATCATGACTACCAGATGCTAATGTAGTACCATCAGGAGAGTAACAAATTGAATACACTGAATCAGAATGACCATCTAATTTAGCTTTTTATTATCCTGTCTTAACATCCCAGAAACAGATAGAGTTATCTGAACCACCAGATGCTAATGTAGTACCATCAGGAGAGTAACAAATTGAATTAACACTATCTGAATGACCATCCATTTTGTCTTTTTTTTGCTATTCTGCCAATACATCCCATAAATAGATAGACTTATCATCACTACAGGATGCTAATGTACTGCCATCTGGAGAGAAACAGATAGAATTAACGCTCTTACTATGACCACCTAATTTAGCATAGTATTGTCCTGTCTTAACATCCCATAAACAGATAGAATAGTCTGAACTACCAGATGCTAATGTAGTACCATCAGGAGAAAAACTGACTGTTAGAACTCCACACGAATGACCCTATAATTTTGGTTTTTTTTATCCTGTCTTAACATCCCATAAACGGATAGATTTATCTTAACTACCAGATGCCAATATAGTACCGTCTGGAGAGAAACAGACTACGTTAATATAATTTGAATGGCCGTATAATTTGCATTTTTATTATCCAGTCTCAACATCCCATAAACGAATAGATTTATCTTTACTACAAGAAGCTAATGTAGTACCATTAGGAGAGAAACAGACTGACCTAGCATAACTAGTAAGACCATCTAATTTGCATCTTTACTATCCTGTCTTAACATCCCATAATCGGATAGACTTATCTTGACTATTGGATGCTAATGTAGTTCCATCCGAGGAGAAACAAACCTATACGACTTCATCGGAGTGACCATCTAATTTCAGTATTTATTTCCACTTTTTGAGATTCCATAAATAAACAAATTTCCGGCTGCAAGATGCTAATGTAGTACCATTAGGTGAGAAGCAAATTGATTTTACCTCTCTCTCATTTTTTGTTAAGGATTTTATATTACCTGTTCTAATATCCAACAAACAAATAGATTTATCATCACTGCAAGAAGCTAATGACTTACCATCAGGAGAATAGCATACTTTATTGACTCTACCACTATGAGCTTTCAACTTATTTAATTCATTTATTTTTAAATTTCTCCACTTGCAATTAAATAATTTGGCTCCATTCAAATTCATACCACTAATAAGAACATTATCAAATTCAGATCCACTGAAGTCACTTCTCATTAAATTTGCTCTTAATAGTGAAGTATTTCTAATTCTAATTTTTTCAAAAAGTTGTTCCTTTAAATCAACCCTCATTTCAACTAATAAATGAAAAGAATTTGATCCACACTATATGTATCTCTCATCTAAGGCAGTAAGTTGAACTAAAAATTTGAGAAATTCTATGATCTTTTTATCTAAGGATATTTTTTTGATCAAATCTTATTTAATTTCATTGCATTCAGCTAAGGAGTAATTCTGTTTATTAAATTCATGATTTTCAATTTTCTAGAGAACATCTGTAATTATCTTAATGATGTTCTCTTCGACATTAAGCATCTATTTCTTTCCCAATAACGAAGAATTTTCTACTAATAATTTTTCTTATTCAATTTGCCTTTGATTTTGAACTTATGAGAGAAATTCTTGGCAATCTTACATTTTTTATATTTTTAATTTTTTAATCAGCATAGGGTATACAACTTCATCAACATCTTTAGTCAAAGCCAAAACCCTAAAAACATCCTCATCCTGCTTCTGCTTGCAATTCATTTTCTTTTTAATAAGAAATAATGAATTTCTATTACTTTTTTCTAAGTTTTATACTATTAATTAAAAAGCTTTTTTAAAATTACAAATGGTATACTATTGACAGCATTTCAATATTAATATTAATTTTGGGATTAAACTAAATTTAAAAAAGCAATATTTATTCTAAACAACAGATTTTATGCATCACTTTCAATTTTTTAATAAATAACAGCATGAATTGAATGTCTGCTTTTATGTACAAATTGTACTCAAGAAAGAAAGAACTGTAATATAAGAATAAATGAATGAATCAATTTAATACAGTACCATTCAATGTAGGAAGATTTATTTCATATATTTCAAATGATATTAATCAATTATGTAATTTAAATTGGCACCGTTTTTAAATAAAGTATCATTATTTAACCTCTATAATTAATCTACATAGATTGTTCATAGAAATGTTAAATATAATATTAGATGAAAATTTGATAAATTTTTTTTGCCACTTGAGTAATTACCATTTATATATAGAATCTAGTGCCAAATAAATTAGTACTAATTAAATATAATTAATCGATTGTGGTTTATAAAAAAGTTTTGTGTTTTTTCTTTGAATTTTTCGAAATGTATCTGACGCTATCTCTACTATGCTTTTTCAAAATTAAACGTATTTAATTCTAATTCGGAAACAGAAATTTTTTATACCGATTCTAATGAATACTAAATTGCAAATTGCTTAGGCTATTGTAACTTTAATACAATCAGATTCAGGGAATTAAATATAATTTATTTCTGGATTCAAAGATGCTCAAGTTATTAGTAATACTCAGATTCTACAAATTTGGTTCAATATTTTTTATCTATCAATCTATGCTAATCTTTAATTTTTATTTTACTAATATTATTACAGAATAGCAAGACAGAATCACAATTTTTGAAAATGATTTATTTTAAGGAAGTAAATTAAAAAAAAATGGAGGATTGAATTTGAAAGGTTTCAATTGATAATCATTAAGGGAATTTGGTTTTGATTTAGTTGAAGGTGTGATCGGATAAGAATTTGGATTGCTATTATTGAATTGTAATCAGGTATTAGCAAGCCCATAGAACATACACAAAACCTGAAGTGACTTTCCTCAGCAATTATATGAGAAATCACAACATAGTCCTCCCTCTTATACATATCATCTAATAATGATTTTCCTACAAAAAAGACCCTGCTTTGATTTTATAGCCCTCTGCCTAATTAAGAATAATTCGATAAAGAGAAAGGATATTATGAAATGGAGACAGCATTTTAGACAATTAGAGATGATCTTAAAAATTTGATTGAAAATAGGATCATTGATTCCCTACCGAAACTCTTTGCTTTTAAATCAATCTCCACAAATCTGCTTATGAATTAGACTTAAAAGTAATCTGTCTTTAAGACATTTGAATGGCCAGACTTTCTAGAAATATTGGAAACAAAAGGAGGTGACATTGAATTTGAGTTGTTCTGAATTTAAAGAACGAAGAGATAAAAATCAATAAATAATAATAATCAGATTCACAATGAGAGGAGTTTTCTCAAAATATTTAAGAAAAAGATTTGAATTAATATACAAGAGAAATTTCATTAGTTAAGTCGCCCATTTGAGATGGAAGTATTAACCTATTTATTAAAAATATTTAATCGAATATTTGAAATAGGAGAAAGAATTAGAAATAAAATAAAATAAAATTATTGAATAAAATAATGAAAATTGATAATGACTAAAACAAACATAATCTATTTCGGAAGGAGCTTTGATAAATTCAGTTTTCCTATTTATATATAAGGAGCTACAGAAAAGAGATTGAATATCAAAATAATAGATTGATCAAAAAGATTTAATTTTTTGGTTTAATCTTCACATTAAATATCAACATTAAAGCTTTCTGACGCCATTATATGAATGTCTAATAAAAGATAATTCCTTAAAATTAAGGCAATTGAGTAAACTCTCAGAAAGGATCCAGTAGGTGTTTTAAATGACCAAGAAAGCAATGAATCAAACGCTTATGAGATTTCAAGAAGAATCAGAAGAATATAAAATAGAAAGAATTCGAATGGAAAGGAAATTCATGGAAATAGAATCAAAGAAAAAAAAAGAAACTGAAGAAATGAAGGCCCTTGTGGTCTAATTAAAATAATTTTACATAAGGGAGGGAATAATTTAAGGATTAAACTTTATTCTACAAGCTAATAGAAATAATAATAATATTAAATAAATCAGATAATACTATTTAGCAATTTCAGTGCTAGTTATGAATATATTAATTGAAAATTAAAGATTATTAATATTATATCTTCTTTTCATTTTACTTGTACTTATTTTCACATATGCATAAATCTCTATTTTGAATCACTAGTCAGAATAATCTTAGATCGAGCCTATATTATAAGAAAATGTCCTTGATGAAACACTATATCATACATGATGAGGATGCGCGGATAATAATAAATGCCATGAGTACAATCGAATCTCACTTCAGTCCTGCTACGCTCAAGGTAATATATGACTATTATTGCTTTTAGAAGAATTTGTCATATTTTATAATATTGAGTTTAGGTAAATAATTTATTTAGCCTTGCATGCTCAATATTGCCTAAATCATTTAACTTCATCAACTAATTTTATGTTAGATTACGGTTTCAATCACTCAAATAATAATAAAATACTCAGATTTATTCTAAATAAGCCAATATTGAAGGTATAAAATCTTTGTCTCATTCTCTTGAATTCTTCCTCTCTTTTTATGAAAAAGGACTATTTACTATCTGATTTAAATGTTCGAGAATAAATTTGAGGANATTTATTAAAAATATTTAATCGAATATTTGAAATAGGAGAAAGAATTAGAAATAAAATAAAATAAAATTATTGAATAAAATAATGAAAATTGATAATGACTAAAACAAACATAATCTATTTCGGAAGGAGCTTTGATAAATTCAGTTTTCCTATTTATATATAAGGAGCTACAGAAAAGAGATTGAATATCAAAATAATAGATTGATCAAAAAGATTTAATTTTTTGGTTTAATCTTCACATTAAATATCAACATTAAAGCTTTCTGACGCCATTATATGAATGTCTAATAAAAGATAATTCCTTAAAATTAAGGCAATTGAGTAAACTCTCAGAAAGGATCCAGTAGGTGTTTTAAATGACCAAGAAAGCAATGAATCAAACGCTTATGAGATTTCAAGAAGAATCAGAAGAATATAAAATAGAAAGAATTCGAATGGAAAGGAAATTCATGGAAATAGAATCAAAGAAAAAAAAAGAAACTGAAGAAATGAAGGCCCTTGTGGTCTAATTAAAATAATTTTACATAAGGGAGGGAATAATTTAAGGATTAAACTTTATTCTACAAGCTAATAGAAATAATAATAATATTAAATAAATCAGATAATACTATTTAGCAATTTCAGTGCTAGTTATGAATATATTAATTGAAAATTAAAGATTATTAATATTATATCTTCTTTTCATTTTACTTGTACTTATTTTCACATATGCATAAATCTCTATTTTGAATCACTAGTCAGAATAATCTTAGATCGAGCCTATATTATAAGAAAATGTCCTTGATGAAACACTATATCATACATGATGAGGATGCGCGGATAATAATAAATGCCATGAGTACAATCGAATCTCACTTCAGTCCTGCTACGCTCAAGGTAATATATGACTATTATTGCTTTTAGAAGAATTTGTCATATTTTATAATATTGAGTTTAGGTACATCTGAAACATAAAATGGTTTTATTTGGCTAATAAAATCTTTGAAATAAATAATTTAGTTGTAAATAATTTATTTAGCCTTGCATGCTCAATATTGCCTAAATCATTTAACTTCATCAACTAATTTTATGTTAGATTACGGTTTCAATCACTCAAATAATAATAAAATACTCAGATTTATTCTAAATAAGCCAATATTGAAGGTATAAAATCTTTGTCTCATTCTCTTGAATTCTTCCTCTCTTTTTATGAAAAAGGACTATTTACTATCTGATTTAAATGTTCGAGAATAAATTTGAGGATCTAAATAAATGGAAATAATGCGTAATTAAAACCTTGTCACATTTGAGGGTGAGTGAATAGAACTGTTTGCGATTTAATTGGTTCTTGCTGAGGATAGAAGTGCTCGATTGAATTGTGAAGCTACATCTTTGTATTTCCCCTAATAATAGATTTTCTCTTAATATAAATATATCCTCTTAAAAAAATTTGTATTAGCATCAGCAGCTGGTAATGGAGCAAAATCTGAGTAATCTAATAAGAAAAACATCAGCAATAGTTACATTAAACTTATTAATCTAATAATGAGGAGGAATAACTCACTTTAATAAAATCTATATGTAATTTTTATTTTTGAACTAATGCCTATTAAATTAATAATTAGAAATTATAAAGAATATCTATAGGTTATTATTAAAATATGAAAATAAAATAGTTTAAATCATCTGAAGTGTTCAAATTTCTTAAATTTATTCTAAATTTTCAAATATTATCCATATTAGAAATTTTTTTATAAAGCAATTAGAATACTTTTCTTAAGATTTAACAATAATATAAATAAAGTGACTATGAATTTTATAGACAAAAAAGAATTGAGGAATAAGATAATATAGATAAGAATATTGAAATTGAAATAGATGATGTCCCACACTATTTTATTCCACAATTAACAATTTAACATATGGAACTTTATGTAATCAAATAATGTTGTCTTATTCAAAATATTATATTGCTATTGTATTAATTTATTATGAATAAATAAATTTAAAGATTTTTAGATAAAGCAACTGTTTCTTTAATAAATTAAAATAATTATGAATTATACTAGTAAGCTAAAATAATTAAGAAGAAATGAAGACTTAGTATTTATTACTTTGATATTGAAATATAATAAATATTTATTAAAAGTACCTTAATTGATTTCATGGATAACTTTGTAGGTTTACTGTAATGAATTATGGTTAAGAAGAGCCATTTATTGTTTATTATTTAATTTACTTTTTATTGCTTGTCATCTTTAATTAAGCTCTTTGTAAGTCAAGCAAAAAACTTTGATGTTTACAGGAAATAATTATTCTGTTTCACTTATATGTGAAGAATTATTCATATCTATTTATTTTATAATCTCTCGATTTAAAATTTCCTCAACCAATCATCTTTAAGTATTACCTCGATATAAGGATTTGTAATCATAAATATTATCCTATTTTCTATAATATTTATGTAAATTTCCCTTAATATCAAATTTATTGGCCATTTCATATCGTAACTTATTTTTGAGATTTTCAGAATAATTATTCCAAAATAAACTAAATCCAGATGGAATAAATTTAAATTTTCCATTTATGATCTAAAAAACTGAGAGTTATCAGCCACCGTGAAAATTAACTTAAAAATCATATTCTGAATATTCTAAAAATATTTATAGTATATAATTATTAAATTGACGTTTTATTACAATAAATAATACTACAACCAATTTTATTTCTGTTTTTAATCGAATTCAATTAAAATCTGGTAATACAAGTATCAATATATATTACTAAAAGTATTAAGAATTAAATGATAAGAATTGCACACATGACTATAGTATCGTAAAACTTACCTTACCAGAAAAATATCATTAGTTTTATAAATTAGGAGTTTTGAAAGCGCACCTCTCATTTTTAGTAACACCTAATAGTATTACAATTCTAATTCTAAGTTCAAGAAATTGAAATAATGACATTGAACTTTATAAATACTTTCCATTAAATGATCATCAATAAATAGATTTTCAACAAGATTAATTTTCAATCTAATATAAATAATTGAGAATAGATAATTATTGTTAGATATAATATATATAACAATATTAATGAAGCCACATAGCTTTAATTCATTTATATAGTTTTCCAATATCAGTTTTCTTGATACAAACAATTTCACAATCAAATAGATAATTAAAAATTAGTCTAGCCTATTATAGCCTGAATATTGTAAATAGTAAATATATAATAATGATATTTCATTTTGATAATGCTGTTTGTAACCTCTAGAATTATATGGAATTCAAGTTGTAATTGAATGATTAAAAATTAAAATTTGTACTATTCAAAAGATACTAAAGCAGAATAATTGAGAAGTAATCCATTTTGTATTATAACCCAATTTTCAATTTCCTTTTTAAATTTTTATAATATAATTTAATTCAATCATTTCAATATTCTTGATTTACTGCATTATTAATAACAAAATACTACTCACAATTCAATTACATTATTATAATTTAGGTTCAATTCATGATACACTCCAAATATAATAATTTCAATAATATCATCCTAAATTGAAGTTGGCAATTTAAATTTTTCTTCTCCTACAAGAATATACCTCATATTACTTTTTATTTACTTGATATTATGTTTTCTTAATCAGTTTTAATTAAAAAAATGAGATTTACTTAGATTTCAAAAAGCCCAATATCATTACAATGTTTGCCAGGTTTATTGTTAGTATCAGAAACTAATATACAAACTAATAGTACTTCTTTCTCACCCTTAATGTTATCCAGTATATTTTAAATGCAGAAGTAATGATACTTTATTGCCCTATTCTTACCTTATTAAGGCAACATACGAAATTTAATTTCTGAAACAATGTGAGACTGAAACAGATTTTTAATCATAAAAGTTAAATGAATAAATTAGGGTTCAATTTTAACTTATAATGAGGATAGGATGATAATTTCTCATAAATTGTAAGTGTAAAAATTCGCATCATGCATAGATAGATAACAACCTTGACAGCTCTCTGCTATTTTCTTGTATTTTCATCTATCGCACGAAATTAATTTTAAATTTAAAGAAAATCATTGTAATGAATTAATATACTTGTCAATCATTATAATTTAAATATTAAGGGATTATTATTATGCTAAATTCTTAATAACCAAGAAAAAGTCTTAGTCAAGTTGTAATTGGTTCTTATATTTTTAAATATTAGAAATCAATACAGAGAGAAAGTAATCAATCAAGCTTATTGCTATTAGAATCTTGAAAATTAAATTGAAAAAGCTTAAATCAAGATTTCAAAAAAAATCATTTTTTTCATATTTTGAAAATATTTTGGAGTAATGCATTTTAATTATTACATAAAAAACTTATTTAATTGACAAAATATTAACTTAAATTCTTTCATACTTATTCTAAGCGTTATTTGAATAATAAACTACTTAAGTCTAAATTTTTTTATCTTTTACACCCTTTATTCGATTGTTTTCAAAAAAAGATTGTAATAAATTAAATGTTTAATGTATATTATTAACATAATGGAGCCACCACTTATTGGAGGTCAAAGATCAATCTGGAGTAATTAATTTTCATCGCCTAATGCTAATAAAACAAATAAAAAAACTATTATGACTATTAATTAGACCGATCAAGCATTTTAACAATTTATCATCCTTTTCTCTACCATCAACATTAACTAAAGAGCCCTTTATATGCAGAATATATTCTCATAAAGGATACAATGCTGGGTGAAAATGATAATTTTTAAATTTATCTACAATAAATCCTTCTAAATTATCATCCTTAATTTCTTTCATTTAATTATTTACACTAGAAAAGATTCTTATTTTATTATAATATTAGAAAATATCATTTATTTACAATAAGAAATTATGCATTTTATATTAATCAATTGTTGTAATTAATTTACTTTCTTATTTGAAAACCTTCTTGCATCATCTCTTTATCTATTCTCATTTCCACCCAAATTCCAACTTTTTTGCCATTTTAATATTAACCAACATAGATCACCTCAGATAATCCTATTCCATTTCCATAATTCTCAGTTATCTCAATCCATTTTCCACCCTTAATTGAACCTAATTCTTCTCTCAAATAATATAACCCTCCACCACTAAAATTAATATTTATATGCTTACATTAAGTGAAATTATTCACTAATTTCGTTCCTAAACAAAATATCCCATTTACCAATCCTATTACCATATAAATATTCTCCTTTGTAAATGACTTAAGACTTACTGAAAAAACAAGAAGTCTCCCCACTTACCTATTTTTATTGAATCAGATCCTTAAACTAGAGAATTTGATCCTCCACCACTAACATTCTTTATTGTATACTACATTCTTTCAAATTAAAATCCATCCTTCCTATATCTAATATCCCATCTACCAATTTTTTGGTTATTCTCATATTCACCCTTATAAGTTAACTGCGCCTCACTAAAATATCCATCACTCAGTTCAATCCAATTTCCAATTTTAATTGAGCCTTTATCTTTAATTACATCATATAAACCACCTCCTCTAAATTTAATATATCTTTTGAATACATAGATTCGAATTTATCTTATCCGTCCTTTCTATACAAAAAATTCCAATTCCCAAATTTAATGCCGTTTATATATCACCACTGTAGATTACCTGGGATCCACTATAAAACCTTTCGCTCAAATCAATCCAATTTCCGATTTTAATTGATCCTAGATTTTCCATCGACGCATACATTCCTCCACCACTTAATTATATATTTTTATTGCTAACATCTATTCGAAACTTTCTAGCTCACTTTTCTTGTAAGTAATACCCCATCTACCTATTTTATTTCCATTTTTGTATTCACCATTATTAGTGATTTATGCCTGGCCATAAAATCCTTCGCTTAACTCAATCCACATTCCTATTTTAATAGAGTGATCCTCTTCAACTTCTTAGTATTCTCCTCCACCTCTAGTATAATTAAGGATATTATTTTACATTAATTTATAAGGATTCTTTCTAAATTATCTATAAAAAGTATCCCATCTACCTACTTTTTTTCTATTTCTAAATTCTCCTGAAAAAATAAAGAAAGAATTTCTAAAATAATTATATAATTGACCTAGCACTCTCATATACCCTATAGCCTTGTAAATCAAAATATTCGAAACCACTAAGAAAATTGAATTAAAATTTACAATACCAGAATTAAAAGATATTATCACATATTAGAACCGCTTCCATTACCCTATTTTAAAACCATTCTTATATTCACCTTAAAATATGGTTTGTTTATGATAATAGAAGCTTGCACTTAATTCAATCCATGTTCCAATCTTGATTGAGCCAAATTGTTTCACTTCCGAATATGTTCCTCCGCCACTAGGATTAAATTCACAATAATTACATCTATTCATTTTTCTAATCATAATGATTTTTATACCAAATATCCCATCTGCCAACTTTATTATTATTTTAATATTCCCCACAATATGTTACTTCAGAATATTCCTGAAAATTTTCACTCAATTCTATCCATATACCAATCTTAATGAAATCCTTCTCTCTGTATGTCCCTCCCCCTCTAAATTATAGAAGTAAAATCAATTACATTTAAATATTATTATTTCGCCCATCATAATAAAATGTATCCCATTGACCAATTTTCTTATTATTTCTATATTCCCCAGTATAAGTGACTTAACATTCCTTTCTAAATTTATCATGCAACTCTATCCATTTTCCTTTTTTAACTGAGCCTTATTCTTATTAGAAATTATATGTTCCTCCTCCGCTAAATATTAAGCTGTGAATTTATACACCAACCAAAGGGTTTTATTAAAACCTATCTTGGAAAAAATCTCCCATCTCCCAATTTTTTAATTATTTCTATATTCCCCAGTATAAATTATTGAATGATCTCCATCAACTGTTTCAATCCATTTTCCATTCTTAACTTCTTATTATCCATTAAGCTCCTCATAACCTCCACCTTCACTAAGGGCAATTTGAAATTTTTTTATAATTTAATATATTACATTAATTGCTTATCTTATTTAACCCTCCAATAACCGATTTTTTTACCCCTTTTATATGAACCAAAAAGAGTAATTTAAGAATACTCTGAAAACCCCTTACCCAATTCATACCATTTTCCATCTTTTGCGGAATCGGCTTCTCCTTAATCAAAATACTATCCAAAACCGCTAAATTATTAAATATTTATTTATGATATTTTACATAAGTTTAAATTAATAATCTCCTTTTAGCTTAAAAATATCTCCCATATGCCTACTTTTTTACCATTTTTGTATTCTCCATCTTCAATCACTAAACATTGGCTAATTATTGATTTTTTTATACTTTGTGAAGTCATCACTTATTTCTCTCCATTTACCATGCTTTTAGCCATGTAAGTTATAATACCCACCACCACTAATTAGATAAAAGTTTTGAATACATCAAGTCAGCATTCATGATCAAACTCCATCTTCCGACCCTTAAATGATTGAAATAGAATCCAACTTCATAAATTTGAACCTTTCTATTTGTTTTAATAACAATGTTTTTACATCCAATAACTCTTACTTAACTCTTTCCATAATCCTACTTTTAATCCAACATCATTGTAGCATCCACCTATTTCTATGAGTTATTATAATCTCCAATTAATAACGAACTATTGCACCTTCTTAAGTTGAGATCTGCCATTTCCCCATAATTCAGAATATTTGATCTATTCTATTTTTTGAAAAATCCGAGGACTTGCTTAAATTTATCTTACATTAGTTCTAATTTTAAATACTATAATTTACATGTTTACAGATTTTCCATTCAGAAGACATTTAAATTTATTATCTTAAATTAGTAATATTTCGCGCCTTTTCTACATCCATTTATAAAAATATATTCTCCAAACAGCACATTCAAACTCATAAATGTTACTTTATAAGTCAATTCTAACTACTTAAGACTCATATTTTTCAATTGATCTAAAAATATTAAGATTAAGATTTGCCTATTCGGTATTTGAATTTCCTATTATATACGTTGATCTCTTGAACAAGTAATTCCCATAACCTTATTTAAATAAAAAATAATTATTATTAATAATACATTTAAATTTAAAGTAGGTAATTTGTCAATTCATCAAAAAGAATACGACGAAAGGGCAATTCATTAAAATTTACCTCAAAAATGTTATAATTATAATTAATCTATATTTCCACTAATCATTTGGTTAAACTCATATAAAAATCCAAAGTCTAATTAATATTTCCAATTAAATGAAAATTTCATTGAATCTAGATTTTGTCATCTATTCTTTAGTATGACTAATAATCATAAAGATTATGATAAATCAACTAAAATGACTGAATAAACAGAACGGCGTATTTCGAAATGATAAGAAAAATCACACATCAAAAATTCACAATAAGTAATAGTTGAGATCTTCATGTTTTTTATTTCTATAAATTAAATTGATAAATTAGACCCTGTATTGGGTTTTCAACCAGATATGGTGTAAATTCACAAAATCTCAATTAGATTAATTTAATTAAACGATAACTTCAATGAAATTAAACATGAAAGTAAAATTTTTTATCAATTAATTCTACTATGAACAAACTGCTTTTTCTATTTAAATTCATAACCACAAATCAATTTTAATAAATCAAACCAAATCAATTCTTAATGTAATCTTTATAACTCAGGATATCTAAAATTTTAATAATTCAGAAGTTTAATTCAATAGCAATCCCATTTTAGCCTAGAGCTGTTAGAGAATTTAGCTATATTGAATGAAGAGCAGAAAAATTTTTTAATTGAGATAATATCGTTATATCTAATAATTATACAAGCACTATAATCATTATCATGTATAATTAAATTTTTATACTTTTTTCCTTTTAATGAAAATATTGCCTTAAGGTTAAGTATAGATAATCTAATAATATTATCACTAAAAAAAATGTGTGGCATTCACTTCTAAATTAGTAACACATAATCACTTAAATTATATTAATTGAGAATATAGTTTGAGTTTTTATTCTAGCTTAGACCAAAATTAATTTCTAAATTCATCAATCGAGAGTTTAAAGGAACAATTAAATTCCTTGTANACATTAGTTCTAATTTTAAATACTATAATTTACATGTTTACAGATTTTCCATTCAGAAGACATTTAAATTTATTATCTTAAATTAGTAATATTTCGCGCCTTTTCTACATCCATTTATAAAAATATATTCTCCAAACAGCACATTCAAACTCATAAATGTTACTTTATAAGTCAATTCTAACTACTTAAGACTCATATTTTTCAATTGATCTAAAAATATTAAGATTAAGATTTGCCTATTCGGTATTTGAATTTCCTATTATATACGTTGATCTCTTGAACAAGTAATTCCCATAACCTTATTTAAATAAAAAATAATTATTATTAATAATACATTTAAATTTAAAGTAGGTAATTTGTCAATTCATCAAAAAGAATACGACGAAAGGGCAATTCATTAAAATTTACCTCAAAAATGTTATAATTATAATTAATCTATATTTCCACTAATCATTTGGTTAAACTCATATAAAAATCCAAAGTCTAATTAATATTTCCAATTAAATGAAAATTTCATTGAATCTAGATTTTGTCATCTATTCTTTAGTATGACTAATAATCATAAAGATTATGATAAATCAACTAAAATGACTGAATAAACAGAACGGCGTATTTCGAAATGATAAGAAAAATCACACATCAAAAATTCACAATAAGTAATAGTTGAGATCTTCATGTTTTTTATTTCTATAAATTAAATTGATAAATTAGACCCTGTATTGGGTTTTCAACCAGATATGGTGTAAATTCACAAAATCTCAATTAGATTAATTTAATTAAACGATAACTTCAATGAAATTAAACATGAAAGTAAAATTTTTTATCAATTAATTCTACTATGAACAAACTGCTTTTTCTATTTAAATTCATAACCACAAATCAATTTTAATAAATCAAACCAAATCAATTCTTAATGTAATCTTTATAACTCAGGATATCTAAAATTTTAATAATTCAGAAGTTTAATTCAATAGCAATCCCATTTTAGCCTAGAGCTGTTAGAGAATTTAGCTATATTGAATGAAGAGCAGAAAAATTTTTTAATTGAGATAATATCGTTATATCTAATAATTATACAAGCACTATAATCATTATCATGTATAATTAAATTTTTATACTTTTTTCCTTTTAATGAAAATATTGCCTTAAGGTTAAGTATAGATAATCTAATAATATTATCACTAAAAAAAATGTGTGGCATTCACTTCTAAATTAGTAACACATAATCACTTAAATTATATTAATTGAGAATATAGTTTGAGTTTTTATTCTAGCTTAGACCAAAATTAATTTCTAAATTCATCAATCGAGAGTTTAAAGGAACAATTAAATTCCTTGTAGTTGCAAAATATTTTTTATTAAGTTATTGCGCCTTTACAAATAATTTTCAGGTTTTCTATGAAAATTTTATTTAACATGATTCATGTTTACTTTATTACTTGCTATTCGAATTGAAAACCTTTTTGGTAGGGAATTTATGACGTTTTTTAGTTTTCATTTAATTAATAACTCATTAATTGTTAGACAATATCTTTAACCCTAAATAGAATTATACTTAAGCAAAAGAAGGTGAGTTAGTTATTAATAGATTTTATATACCCTGAGTAGGTTATTCAAACATTTAAATTCCCATCTACAATTTAAGGTATTTAAATATCAATAATATCATTGCTGATTAGATTGAATATTTGAATTTACTACTTTGTATTTATCACGATCAACTTTGATACTTGAAACTATTATTTATATTTTCCATAAATATTTGGGTCATAGATTTGATGACCTAAATAAGAAGCCTGATTAATTATATGATATTTAAATTGATTAACTCATATAATCTCAAAGTAGTTGAATATTCAAAGATTGCTACTCTAAAAAAAATTTATTGATAATTTAAGATTTACATCAAAAACATAAAAAATACATTATTCAACATTTATTCCTCATTAATGATAAGAGTTGATTTGTTAGCCAGAGTTGTATCCCAAATTACATAAATTTTCAAAACTGTTAGAAATATATTATTGTTATGTGAGATATTGGCAGGAATTTAATCTAAGTTATGCAACCTAAATTACTGATTCACTTGACAACAGTGCAATAATTAAGGAACATTCTATATTAGATGCCAATTAACATGATCGAAATGTTGTATATAAGGATAACTGCTCAATTATGTCATACAGCCTCCAAGATCTATGAGAACTATAGTATATGTAGCCACAGGAAGGCATGGCATTCTATTTATGGTAATTATAGATTTAAGCATTAGCACAAGTCCCAACCAAAAAAAATTACCCTAAGAGTTAGTTAGTTGAAGCTTCTGAGCATTAAATGTTAGTACTCATCAATCAGCAACTTTTAGGTTTTAAATATATCCCTATCTCCGTTTAGCTCCAATGCATCCAGTTAAATTACCTTCACCCTCCTCATTTGAATCAAGATCAGCGTCTTCAGGAGCTTTAGTATAGCTGATATGAATTTCAATAGTACAATAAACCCAGTTAGATAAGTGTAAGGTGTATAAAACAAGCCTTATCATAACATGCTTCTTTGAACCACAAGCATATTTACACTTTAAGGTTATGTAACATTAATCTTCTAATACTAATAAATTATGTAGGGCTGATTTAGTTATGCATCCACGACTATTTGCGATTGTGCCTGAACTTAGATAGGTCTTGCACTTTAAACCTGTGTCATATGAGATTTGATGTGTAATTTTGACAAATTAAACTAAGGCTCTTAGTACTGCTAATTCCTTATTAAATACTGAGTAGTATAAGACAAGAGACCTTTCAAAAATTTTAAGAGGTCATCATTTAAAAAATTTCTCGGTACTTATCGACAGCAGAAGTATATCACTGCATTCGTTTAAAATTTACATCATCTTCCAAGTTTAGTGATACAAGTTTCTTTGAATATATTACAATCATAATTCAGTTATAGAAAGGTTGTAGAAGTAGTAGGAACATTATCTCGTGTTCTCTCTGAAAATCCTTGAAATGTTGTATTATCAATAGTGCAATCTTCTTTGAAAGCAGCACATTATTCATTTAAAACATAAATTGAAGGAGTATTTTGACATGTATTTTACATACAGGAACTGCCTGCCAAAACATTTATTATTTTAGACTTCAAATCATATTTGGGCAATTCAGAGATTCTCAATGCACCCTCCTAAGATTTTTGAAAGCAATTTTTTAGGAACTCAGAGCAATTGATATTTTAAGGAGCATCTTCACTCTTATTGTCGTACGCCTGGATGGGATTCTGATATATTATATGGGTATATGTATTATCGCTACTATTTAACAGGAAATTGAAAAACATATTTATTTATTTGCTATCGTTACATGGTGTTCTTTATCTACAGCCTCTCAGCCACTAATGAACCACTCTGAAAACATATTTCTAACATGATGTTACAGTTTCACAGAAGCGATACTTACATTTTTGGACTATGTAATAAAATAGGTTCATACTTTAACATCCCGTATTAATTGAGTTTGAACTGCCTTCTTTTTCTACAGCTCTTATGCAAATTTTGTTATTTTGCATTTTACTTTGAGAATCAATATGTTACAATATTACAAATTCTTAATTTTGTTTAACATGTAATATTATAATAGGTTGATTTACACATTAGAACTTTAAATTTAACTTGCTGATTATGTTAATTTTTTTGCTCCACTAAGTTAAATTTGAGTTTAAATTTATCAACTCAATTATTGCTATGATGATAATAGAAATATTTGCAAATGAGAATTGATGTGAAAATTAGTTGACAGCATAATTTGAAAATCATAGCTGGAAAATCGGTTTTTTTTCCAAAAATAGAAGTCATCAGTTATTAGTATTCGCATTTTTTTTTTTTGATACTTATTCGCTTCATTTAGTTTACCTTTTTGCTAATAGCGAAAGCAATATTTCAAAAAAAATATAGCATTCAAAACATAACTAATTGATTAATATATAATTATACATTTCTGTTATAACCTCTTAAAAATCATTTTTAGTTGTAGTCACTGTGTATTTTGAGAGAATTTATGGTATGTTTCTTGATTTAACATAATTATAATTTTCTTTCATTAAAAGTTAGGGTTCTAAATTCTTAAACATATAATAATTAAGTAAGAAGTGTAATAGAAACAGAACATTCTACAATATGTTCTTTTGCCTGACTGTTCATCTAAATATTATCTATTATATAAAATAAATAGTTCTTTCTCTTATCCTAAATTTTATTGACTTCCCTTCCTCATTAATTTTCTAAAAGGGGTCTAAACAAGACTTGTTGCTGTTAACTATTATTCAATATTTTTTAATCAATATTGTTTCTTCATTATAACAGATTAAATTACCACGATGTAATCATTTTCTGGAGGGTTTTATGGATAGCTAGCAAAAAGTTTTTTTTTTGCTTTAAAAGATCATCTTTTTTATCTACAATATTTTGGCAGTTCCATTAAATTTATAATGATTAGTATCTCTACAATTATGTTCTTTTAAGACAAGCCTATGTATAATGAAAATATTATTGATTTTTACTTTCATAAAATTAATATCAACCATTTCATATTGAGGTGTTGAATCTACCTAATGTGCTTCGTGATGGATACAATATTTATTGCTATATTCGTCATCTCCTTATAATCTTTGTTGTACTGCTTAGATTCTTGGTCTGATTAGATTCATCTTCAATATCAAGAGTTCTTCTATAGCTAATATACGAATAAGTAGCTCCTCGAGTTATGGATATTGATTTGACTTTATCACTACTTCTAGTTGTACTAAAGTTTACTCTAGGGCCTTATTTGTTACTCTCCCTTCTGCCTTTACTGAATTATTACTGCATACAATATCCTTTACCTTAACTCTTGTACTTAGTTACTTCTTCAAATCTATCAGATGTTACTAGAAAACTTCACCTTGTCTAGTAATTTGCTTCATTGACCAATTTGCTATATGGTTCTCAAAATATGGTATTGTTTAGGCGATGATTTCTAATACTTTTAACAATACAATGAGTATATGTATTTTCAAACTTCAAGCAATTAGTTACTTGATAAATAGAAGCTAAGTGTTGCAAAATAATGTCACAATTGCTGATAAGAAGGCTAAAGCCAACGTTGTATCTCTTCTCAAGTCCTAAATGTAATTCTTATTTATCCCAATGTATATGTATAATATATCTATGTAGCAATTGTATTTATTCACAATGCTTGTATTTGTTTAGCTTTGGAAATATTTTATTGTTTGATCTTTCATACATCTAGTAATAATCTTTTCTTTAGCTTCTCAAATAATGGTTCTACCTATTGTTATTCCTCTATCCATGCACCCATATTGATAAAGAAATTAGCGAAGTTGGATTTTCTATTTGTATCTCAAGATTTATCGTGAAAATTGTGATTCATACATTTCTCATTTGATATAATTCTTTCAAAGATGTTGAATTCACAGCTCTTGCTTATTCTTTAATATTCGACAGTTTCATCATAAATGCATTCTAAAATCAAACATAAAAGTTATGATATATTAAAAGATTGTAAAATTTGAACCGAGTGTCTTAATCCTTCTGAAGTGAATAAAAATATCGCGCTTTTATACTTTCATGTTTAAGTTTCTCAAAGTAATAATGTAGTAATGATAAATAATTATCAGCTTAACATGTATGTTTGCTCCCAATATTTTGTCACATTATTTCTATTATTTCTAATCAAATAAATATGAAAGTAGCATTAGTAGTACTCTCAATATGAGTTAATGTTGATTCCTTGAGCAAGATCACTATTGATAGTGTTTGAAATTTTCCTACTGCATATATTATTCAGTGATGATATGTTTAATGATACATATCATCAAACCCAATGTTATTTATCATACTACATTGACAGCAGCTTTGCAACATTTTCTCATCTGTATACTTTTTAGAATGTTCTTTCAGTCCTTATTGTATTATAGAGCATACTTGATATTAAAATTAGTAATCCGTTGTTACCTAGGTTAAACTATATGACATCATATGGCCATTAAACAGTTCGTTTAAGTTAAATTCAAAATGCTTTCCATGAGAAAAAAATATGAAATGCTTTCAGAAAATTTACTGCCAATAAGAAAAGTATTGGCGCAGAGGATGAGGAAAGCCAAAATCCACTCTTTAATGCAGCATTATACCTTAACTATAGAATAGCACCTCCTATTAAAACAAATTACTCACTTATTTGAATATCTGCCAATTATAGATATGTATTTCAACTAAAAGGCTGTTGACACTGAAAATGCTTTTAAATCTTGAGTTTCTTATGTAAAACAAGTGTAAAATTTCAATATCTGCAAAGTTAGCACACTCTTCTCAAATTTTTTTTTTTTAAATTGATTTGCCAGGGAAGACTCATAAGAAAAATTACAATCCTACCAATTTACTGCAAGATCTATTGCTATAGTTGATTACATCAAGAAACATCCAAATAATAAGATTATTCAAATGGTTCTTTCAATATTTTTATCTCCTTCGCAGCTAAAGAAGAGACTTTAGATTTCATATTATACATTTGATATTTTATATAACTCAATTATTAAGTACTTCTCTTCGTTATCAGATAATTCTTTACCTCTAGAATACAAAAATTCATATAAATTTCTTTGGATGTATTCCTGTCTTGGATGCAGCTCTCCAAAAAATGTATAATTGTTTGTGAAATGAAGGAGTATTTTTGAATTTAAATCTCCTAAATGCTTGTTGCTAAGAAAGGCTAGAAATGAACAATTGCTGCGTTGATGTAGCTTTGAAATTTCATTTTTCTCATTTCAAGAACAAAATAATATTTTGGTTTCCAAATTTGCCTTCTGTTTATTAATTGTTGTCTATTTGCTATCTTTTTTTGAGCTCCTGTAATTGAAGGAATTGCTAAAGATATTGGGATATTGAATTGTCAGGCTTCCAAGTTCGGCATTTATTTATTCGGAAACTAATAAAAGAAATCAAAAAAAATTCAAAAGATACTATTTAAAAAAGGGAGGAAATTTCATAAGTCAATGCGAAAGAGAATGAGAATTTCAAAAATGCACCAAGTCAAAGAACTGACAATAGAATAGATTATCCCAATCTATTGATAGCTACTATGATGGTAATATTAGGACATATAAAATGCTCTAACATCTATCCTAGCTCCCCCAAGGACTCCTGTAATTATCCCCACCTGTTTATTGCGTTAATAAAATAACCACAACTAAATGTGCTGATTGTGGTGATTTTTTGTTAATGCTATGATAAAGGATTAGTTACATCCATGTAGATGGATGTAATACAAATAAAGTAGAAAGCCGCAATACTAAGTCAAAAGTAAGAGAAAAACGGAGGATTTTATGCATCAATAAAGAATGAGTGGCTTTTAAATCATAGCCTTTCTTAAATTGACATCAATCCTGCTTACTTGTGATGCATGTTCAGTTGTAAGTGCCATTTTATGTTACACGAAACTTTATAATTGATACAGTAAATGGTGGTGCGCTGAAAATCTTGATGAGGTTTCTATTTGGTAAAAGTCAAAATCATGCATTGAAGTGTAATAAGATTAATTTACTTAGCAAAATTATAGTATCATCTCGATGATATTGACTTAAAGACAACAATCATCCATACATTATTTAAAGTACCATTTGAAATTGTCTAATCTACAATTTAGGACAATTAAGCTTAGCAGCAAAGAGTCTATAATCATTAAATAACTTAATAACCATTTTCATACTTTAAGTTATTCCTCTTTTGTAAAATCATATATTATTGGACTGAATAATAATATTTGATGTAGCTGATTGAGTTTACAATGTGCAATGAAACAAAGCATATTGCTAACAATTCTATGCAATATTAGGCTATGAGTAAAAGCACTTTATTTAATTAGTTCTTATAATCAACAGGTGTTCCAGTCGTACATGGGATCGGAATTATCAACAGAATGACAAATATTATAATTTGAAGCTTTTCTTATTGTTGCCTCCATTTTGCCGCGCTAACCAATTACTATCAGCACTTATACCTTTGATACAAGAATTTGGCACAACGTACAATTAAGGATACTTAAAAGCTACTTTAAAAATAGTAGCATAATTAGTGAATGCAGTCATACTTAACTAGTAACATTCATGCTCAGCATTGATAATACCTAATTAAACAAGACATAACAAATTTAGCAGATATCTAAAAGCTAGAAAATAGAATAAAATTGTTTTATATTCTATTCGATATTATCTAAAAATCAGTTAAGCTAATTTATGTTTGAAAGCATCCAGGTCATTTATAGGTTTGAATTGCTTTGTATGCTTTAATTAACTCATGAATTTCATGGAGTATGATATGTTAAATACTCAGATCGAGTCACTAATTTCATAATATGCACTGGAGCTCTAATCAATTGGGTAACATATTCAGAATCTATAGCTGATGCGCCTACCCAATATTAGTTAGTTAATCAGATGAGAATCACTACATACCAATAATGTTATTGTGCACATTATATGTTCTTGAAGCAGGAACCAAAATTAATCATTATTTAATTGGTTGTTAAACATATTGATTGCAGAATTAAATATTTTATAATACTCCAATAACTTCTGTTGGTTGTACTTTATGATTTTAAATGAAAGCAATTATTAGAATTGAGTAATTTGGCAACAAAAACGACAAGCTTGAGTCATTCTATTTTCAATTCTCTGTTACATTAATTATTAATATCTGGTATAGTTCAACTTTTTATTGACTTTCATCATCGTAATTACCTAATACTTGTAACAAATAATTTTGCTAAGCATGGAGGATGATGTAGAAATTTAACATGTTGTTAATCAACTCATTATTTGACGTAATCATTTGAAATGTCTTGATGCTAGAATCATAAGATATCAGAAATAATTCATGAATAACTTTTTTCTATAATACAGTGAAGAGAAGTATCACGAAATTACCTCTTCTGCTGCCAGTACTGATTCAATTAACACTAAAACAAAGCTGAAATTTTGTCCCTACAAAGTAACTATAATACATCAAGTCATTGCAACTTTTCTTCATAGAACTTAAATTGCCAAATTAATAGATGTGAAGCTAAGGTGTCAGAAATGATTAAAATTTTCTTGGCTCTTCGCTTGAATTAATTGTAATGATCCATTCAAGTTACATTTCATAAAATAATGGGCGAGTAAATTTGAACCCTGCAAAATATTTTTACAGCCTATTTGCAGGATATTTTAACTTGGATCCTGCGCTTGAGTTTTTAGCCCAATAAAATAAACTAGACTTAAAGTCCTAAGCGGCATGTTAATAACAATTATCTGTTAAATTTAATTCTAATTATATACAAGTTACCTGTGCACTTTCCTCATCTATTTTAAAGCGATAAATAATAATACCAGAAGCTGACATGCTCATTTTAAATTTTGTTAAATTCATTATATATTGTCATTAATACATGGATATTTAAACAAGTAAAAATTGTACAATATTTTTTTAATGGATTATGGCTTAAACAACTCTACTATTGAATGTAAAACATGCAATAATTAATATGTCATTTGAAAATTATCACCAAATATACAGTAATTTTTTTCCCCTACAAATTGTTATTAACAAGATATGAGTTGATCCCATTTGAAATCTCATGCTTTTGTTGAGTTTGTTTTACAAGTACGAAAATTCATCATCAACAAGAAATGTTCTGTCTAACGCAAGAGGCATAAAATAAAGAGCAATTATTATTATTAATGGTATCGGCTTTGGAAAAACATCAAGACATCTGTAAGTAATTGAAGTATTATTAAATCACTTATTCAAAAAATTAATGTGTTTTCATCCTGGTTATTTCCTGAAAAATGCTTGCTAGGATTTTCTTGATATATAATACTTCTTTTGAAGTATCTTGTGTGACCATTAGTAAAACTAAAATTGGTCTTGTTAATAATCATTGCTGTACTAGGAAGCGCAGTGAATTATATACTTCTGATTAACCATTTTTTGGATAAAAAAGATACTATTAGAAGTATAAACTTTAGATTCTATTCACTGCTAAGGGTATTATACCTAATACATGTCGTGGCTGTTCACCTTGCTGTGTTGTACTCAACTAGAAGCATGATAAATGCGATGCCATCCATCTACAACATTAATTCAACTTTAGAAATAATTTTTTTACAGTTCCTTGTGTGGGGTGCTCTATATCCAAACCGTTTTCAATTTCCAATTATAATTCACACTGCGTTGCAGCCTGTTTTCATTGCTCTGCTAGTGATGTTTAAAGTCCAATTTAAACTCCCTCTCAAGAATTTATCCCTGACATTAATTATGTGTCAGGGATAAATTCTAGAAGTGTCAGAGAGTATTGTCCATCCATTTATATTATGAGTGATGATGAAAGAAAAGAGTTTAAATGCTTGGCTTCGACTGACCTTATATTATTTTTAGCAATTTAAAGAATGTATGAATTTGTCAGTTAATATACCTTCATAACTAGATTCTGAGTGTTACGAGTCCTTCGATTTCATTTTTGATACTAATTCAAACATTAAGAGCTACCATCTGTTTTATCCCTTCTGTCCAACTTGCGATAATGGATTGCATCGTAATGGAAATAAATTTTCGAGATGACATAATATTTGACAGACTCATGTGTATTCTTAGCCTAAATATTGAGTCATATGATTAGTCTTGATAATCAGGTCAACGCTTGCAGAAATTTATATTAAGTACTAAATGAGGAGAGCGAATTCCTCAAGTTGTACTAATTGTTATACCTCCTAAGAGTTCTAAAAAATGCAGGTCTTGTTCAAATTGCATTAATTTTCAGCTCGTCGAATCGCTGACCACTAAAATACTTTTTATATTAATGAATGCAAAGATTCTAAACCCACCTAATTATCTACCAAAATTAAATTACAAACATATAAATATTTTGAAAAATAGTGAAATTGGCAATTTAAATTGAAATTTGTAATGTTATTAAATAATGATTATCAATTAATTGGCTTTTGCGATGTATTTTACTTTTCTAAAATGCAACTTCCTGTAGTTTTGAATAATAATCTTATATCAAATCCTTAATAATTTATAAATTATCCTTTAAATATTTACGCTCCTTAGGATTCCAAATTGTAATTTTAGGAAATTAGTAAAATTGTAATATAAGAGGTATCTAAAAAATAGTGAAAAATTAATACCAATTTCAGAAACAACCCTATTTATAATTGTAGAAGGTTAAAAATATGCTAAGATATCTTTATAAAGATTCTCTGAAGATAAGACTTACAATCCTGCCTTAACATCCCATAAACGGATAGACATATCTCCACTACCAGATGATAATGTAGTACCATCAGGGGAGAAACAGACTGAATAAACATTACTTGAATGACCATTTAACATGGCTTTCTATTTTCCTGTCTTAACATCCCATAAGATGATAGACTTATCTTCACTCCCAGATGCTAATGTAGTACCATTAGGAGAGAAACAGACTGATTAAACATAACTTGAATGACCATCTAATTTGGCTTTTTATTATGCTGTTTTAACATCCCATAAGCGGATAGACTTATCATCACTACCAGATGCTAATGTAGCACCATTAGGAGAAAAGCAGACTGAATAAATGTTTCCTGAATGACCATATAATCTGGCTTTTTATTATCCTGTCTTAACATTCCATAAACGGATTGAGCTATCTGTATTACCAGATGCTAATGTAGCTCCATCAGGAGAGTAACAAACTGATAGAATTCCATTTGAATGACCGTTTAATTTGACCTTTTTTTATCTTGTCTTAACATCCCATAATCTTATAGAGTTGTCCCTGCTCCCTGATACTAATGTAGTGCCATCAGGAGAGAAACAAACTGATTAAACCCAATGTGAATGACCATCTAATTTTGCTTGTTATTTTCCTGTCTTAACATCCCATAAACGAATAGAATGATCATAACTACCAGATGCTAATGTAGTACCATCAGGGGAGAAACATACTGATTAAACATAATTTGAATGACCATCTAATTTGCCTTTTTATTTTCCTGTCTTAAAATCCCATAAACGGATTGACTTATCATAGCTACCAGATGCTAATATAGTACCATCAGGAGAGAAACAGACTGAATAAACATGACTTGAATGACTATCTAATTTGGTTTTTTATTATACTACTTTAAAATCCCATAAACGAATAGAGTTATCATCACTACAAGATGCTAATGTAGTACCATCAGGAGAGATACAGACTGAATTAACATGACTTGAATGACCTTCTAATTTGGCTTTTTATTATCCTGTCTTAACATCCCATAAACGGATAGACTGATCTTAACTACCAGATGCTAATGTAGCACTATCAGGAGAGAAACAAACTGAATAAACATTCTTTGTATGACCATCTAATTTGGCTTTGTAATTTCCTGTCTTAACATCCCATAAATGAATAGAATTATCAAAACTACCAGATGCTAATGTAGTACCATCAGGAGAGAAATTGACTGATAGAAATCCACTTGTATAACCATCTAATGTTGCTTTATATTATCCTGTCTTAACATCCCATAAAAGGATAGAGCCATCAAGACTACCAGATGCTAATGTAGTACCATCAGGTGAGAAACAGACTGAGTAAACATAACTGGAATGACCATCTAATCTAGCTTTTTATTATCCTGTCTTAACATGCCATAAATAGATCGAGTTATCTGAACTACCAGATGCTAATGTAGTACCATAAGGAGAGAAACAAACTGATAGAATTAAATTTGAATGACCATCTAATGTTGATATTTATTTTCCTGTTTTAAAATTCCATAAATACACAACATTTTTGCAGCTGAAAGCTAATGTATGATTGTTAGATGAAAAGCATACTGATTAGATATTACTCTCTCTTATGATTGTAGACCTTATTTTTCCTGTTTTCACATCCCAAAAAAAAATGAATTCGTCATAACTGCAAGAAGCTAATGACTTACCATCTGGAGAAAAACATACTTAATTGACTCTACGGCTATGTCGATTTAACTTATTTAACTCATGAATTCTTAAATTCCTCCAATTACAATTAAATAATTTGGCTTAATTTAAATTTATTCCACTAATATTAACATTGTCAAATTCACTTTCACTTAAGTCACATCTAACTAAATTCGCTCCAAAAAGTGAAGTATTTATAATTCTTATTTTTACAAAAGATTCTTCTCTCAAATCAACCTTCATCTAAACTAATAAATGAAGGGAATTTGATCCACACTATATGAATCTCTCATCTAAGGCTGTAAGACGAACTAAGAACTTTAATAACTCTATAATCTTCTTATCTTAGGATATTTTTGTGATAAAATCTTATTTAGTTTCTTCACATTCATCTATCGAGTAATTCAGTTCATTAAATTAATGTTCCCGAATTTTTTTGAGAACATTTGTTATTCTCTTAATTTTTTTCTATTCTGCATTTAGCATCTATTCTTTATCAAGCAGTGATAAATTTTCTATCTTTTACCTTTCTATTTCTAAAAGGAATTGATTTTGATTTTATGAAAGAAATTCCAAGCAATTTTAAATTTTCTCTCTTTTTAATATTTTAATCAGGATGGGGAAGATTGCTCCATCAGATTCCTTAGATAGAGACAAAACTCCATACAATCTCCAAACTACTATTTTTTACAATTCATTTTTTTTTTTAAATAATATTTAATTTCCTATCAATTTATTTTGAGTTTTTAAACCTAAGTATTCTTGCATATATATTTTTTGGAAGAATAAATTTGTAAAGATTTGGAGTGACAATCCACAAAATCTTGTATGTAGTTTGTTTCTTTATGAATGTAGAGTAATACTGCAAAATAAATTTGGGTTGGAGTTGGTACTTACGCCCCTACTACTATAATTGCGTAAAATATGTAGTATCTAGTTTCAACCTTGCAAAAACAGGGATTAAATTTAAATAGCCTTTTAGATATGATAGAAGAATGAGAGTGGAGTATTTGAATTTTGATTTTAAAGCAACTATAGGTCAAGCATAATAGTGGATGTGTTCGGTTGAAATTTTATATAAAATATTTTTACGTCAATTTGTAATTTTTGGAAATTATAAATTTTAGGTTTGGATTTTTTTAGTTTTAGAGCTACTTAAGAATGCGATTGTTAATGTTTAATGTATATTTAATTGAATTCGAAATTTTTATAATTTGATAAATAAATTAATTCACAATAGTAAAGTCATAATGTGTGATTTTACAAAATAAATCATTAGAATTACATTATAATAAAGGGTTTTTAAATAAAAATTTTATTTTTGATTACTCAAAATCGAACTAAGTTTTTCAAATTATTCATTAAAATACTGAGAAATTATGGAATTATAATTTTTATAATTACAAACTTTTGAATATGCATTAGTTTCAATCAACTTCTATTTATATCTAAAAATGCATATTTAAGAAAGGAANAAAAGATTCTTCTCTCAAATCAACCTTCATCTAAACTAATAAATGAAGGGAATTTGATCCACACTATATGAATCTCTCATCTAAGGCTGTAAGACGAACTAAGAACTTTAATAACTCTATAATCTTCTTATCTTAGGATATTTTTGTGATAAAATCTTATTTAGTTTCTTCACATTCATCTATCGAGTAATTCAGTTCATTAAATTAATGTTCCCGAATTTTTTTGAGAACATTTGTTATTCTCTTAATTTTTTTCTATTCTGCATTTAGCATCTATTCTTTATCAAGCAGTGATAAATTTTCTATCTTTTACCTTTCTATTTCTAAAAGGAATTGATTTTGATTTTATGAAAGAAATTCCAAGCAATTTTAAATTTTCTCTCTTTTTAATATTTTAATCAGGATGGGGAAGATTGCTCCATCAGATTCCTTAGATAGAGACAAAACTCCATACAATCTCCAAACTACTATTTTTTACAATTCATTTTTTTTTTTAAATAATATTTAATTTCCTATCAATTTATTTTGAGTTTTTAAACCTAAGTATTCTTGCATATATATTTTTTGGAAGAATAAATTTGTAAAGATTTGGAGTGACAATCCACAAAATCTTGTATGTAGTTTGTTTCTTTATGAATGTAGAGTAATACTGCAAAATAAATTTGGGTTGGAGTTGGTACTTACGCCCCTACTACTATAATTGCGTAAAATATGTAGTATCTAGTTTCAACCTTGCAAAAACAGGGATTAAATTTAAATAGCCTTTTAGATATGATAGAAGAATGAGAGTGGAGTATTTGAATTTTGATTTTAAAGCAACTATAGGTCAAGCATAATAGTGGATGTGTTCGGTTGAAATTTTATATAAAATATTTTTACGTCAATTTGTAATTTTTGGAAATTATAAATTTTAGGTTTGGATTTTTTTAGTTTTAGAGCTACTTAAGAATGCGATTGTTAATGTTTAATGTATATTTATACATAATTAAAAATTTAGTATTTTTAGTAAAAAAATAACAAATAACAATAATTGAATTCGAAATTTTTATAATTTGATAAATAAATTAATTCACAATAGTAAAGTCATAATGTGTGATTTTACAAAATAAATCATTAGAATTACATTATAATAAAGGGTTTTTAAATAAAAATTTTATTTTTGATTACTCAAAATCGAACTAAGTTTTTCAAATTATTCATTAAAATACTGAGAAATTATGGAATTATAATTTTTATAATTACAAACTTTTGAATATGCATTAGTTTCAATCAACTTCTATTTATATCTAAAAATGCATATTTAAGAAAGGAATGTTATCAGAATTATATTAATGCATAATCCGGCTTAATAAATTAAATTATAAATAACATTGTATTGGAACCTTCATGATAATCTCTCAATTTTTATCAAAAATGTTTTGAAACTAAAATATAAAAGGAATATTAACCAAAACTAAAATATTCTATATCAATTTTTGATGGAATAGGCCAAAAATTATTCAACACAAAATTCAATATCATTTACTAAAATGTATTAAGGCCTGGTCGAGACTGGCATATAACTGTCTCTCTAAGACTCCAGTAATAGCAATATGGCTATGGGGTTTAGAAAAAATTCAAATTTGTCAATCATCAATCGGATTGGTGATGGGCTTTGTAATAGGGGATGTGATGAAAAGAGCATAAAGTATTATTATTTGAAATGCAGGCAATAGAATTTTGAGTAAATTGGTGATTTTATAAGCTATAATGCGCAATGAAATTATAAGGATAATAATATTAATGTTTAAACAACATGTACCGATCTTAAGTTTGAAAATTTGATTACAAGAAAAATGGGCAATGTAATATGAACATGAATAGAGCTACAATGAAATTATTTACAAATTTTAAACCTTTTTGTATAATAGAATTTGATTTATAATACTATTTTTACATAAAACTAGAGACAAAAAACTTGGGGAGGAAATTAAGAACATTATCAGAAATAGGTTAGAATTAGAAGTAAGTTATCAATATTATAAAGAGTAGAATTAATTCAAACACCAGTACACCTCTAATCAAAAGCATGCAAGGAATTAGGAATAAAATATGAATAAATTAAGCATGAGATAGGGATAAGAATTAGAATTAGGTTGCACCAAAATTTAAACTAGGAATTTAATTCAAAACGCGAATAAAAAGCATATGAGGAAAATTGGAAATTAGATAGGGATGAGATATGAATATATTAAGTAGGAATTAGGGTTAAGAATAGAATAAAATGATATATGAATTCTAAACTTAGAATTCAATTCAAAACACAAATTCAAAACATTTCATCTTTTTGTTGCTAATATTAAATAGTTGGTTTGGATATCCTTACAGTTCTTTACTAACGACAACATAGTAGCTGAATAATATCATTTTATTTAACTTACAACAAGTGTTGCAGATATTACATTAAGAGAAGTTATCAAAAAATATATCTTGTTTTTAAGAAAGCAATTGTTACAATGAAAATGCAATTTGTTCAGTCTCAATCTTTTGTTATGGAGCATGACTTAACTTTACTTTCTAAACAAGTAATAGTATTTTGCAAATGTTCACCCAAAATTCTTCTTGCTAAAGTGCATGTAAATATGGCTTGTGTATTATTAAGCATTTTTACCATGCATTAAATATAGTACGAATAAAATGGAGATGCTAATGTTTAAAAATTATTAATTAAATTTAATTAGTTGCATCAAATATCATTCAAGTCCAAATTGATTAATTATCGAATTAACAATTTTCATGATTACGTAATATAAATTTAATATCTCATTTGATTATTTGAATTTATTCTTTAATTAGCTGCTAATTTATTTCGTCACTTCACAAATCTTTCTTTTTTTTCCGTCTTCAACAAAGCGAATGCTTTTTCTTAGTTAATTATGAATTTCTGAGACTTACTATATAAGTAATAATACCATAGCTTTGTTTTTTACTTATTCAGCCATTCAGATGAAGAATTACTAATACAACGTAAGATCGAGCTGAAAAGGGTATTATTAAGGTAATGACAATCTCCATAAATGACACGAGTTTCACTTTTCTAATCAATTTTATTTGTTAATTAAGTATTTCTTTCAATTTTCAGTATTAATGGCTAAATCTAATTATAACTATTGTTTTTTTAAAAGAGATATTTTTGAAAATTTGAATCTGAATCTGATCTAATTAGTAACACTCTTTTTAAGTTATTTTTCTTTAGTCTGTCTCTGATAATTTAGCCTATTAATTATGCCGGTCTATTTTAATTAGACGCTACTTCATATGATGAATTGGCATTAGTATATATATATACTTTCTTCTCTTGTTTTTCCAATCACACATGAAAATATTAAGTTTTTTCTTTGATTAACTAGCAAACTATTAACATTTATGGCATGATTTGGTATTTTGTTTTCATCAATCAATAAGTGTCCTGATTAATTGATTTATACGATTTTTAATGTAGTACGATTTAGACTTGAAATCTATTCTGATGATGGATGGCCAATCTAAAATGAATTTCCTGCAATATATTCTAAAACTGACTAATAGGATGCTGAAATTATCTAATGGTCTAAGAGTTCTTTTTGGATCGGTTTAAAACATTTTCGTTCCCCATATCCCCTTCTCCTTCTCCTTCATCATCTTAATTGGGTGTTTGGCAGAAAGATCACACAAAAGATGTTGATTGTTATAAGTTATCATAGAGCTTTGTGCAATGACCTGTGTTTTTGGATTTTGAAAGTTTAAGAAATATTCTTTATTTGAAAATCATTATAGGATATGATAACGCAAAGGAACTAAATTTGGTTGAGAGTAAATTAAAAATAGAACATATGAAAATAATTGCTTGTTAAAAATTAATTTTGATAAAAACTGTATATTTTTATATGCTTCCAATAAAAAGTTTGCTGCAAAACAATAATAACTAAACAAAATGTTATTATACTCCTTCTACAAGGAATTTACTTTCATCATGATTAATTGTCAACAAAAAATAGAGCTAGAAGTTTTTATAGAAATTTAGATAAATTTTTAAATTAAAAGGGACAACTATAAATTTTTATTATTTAGATCATCAGATTACCTATTTCCGAAAGATCACTGATCTGTTTGCCTAGCACTTTCGTTTACATTATAAACGTGGCATGGCTATTTAAAAATGCATGATTAATATAAATTAAATTGATGAATATTTAAAAGTATCTGAATGATATAGCTTCTAGTTAGTGATAGAAAATTTTTCTTTTAATATTTAATAGTAAAGATTAGATATAAGTTTATGTTATTAAATAATGAACAAGGCCATGATTAATAAAAAGAATTACTTTGAATGTGGTTGGAATATATGAAATAATTGGTTTAATCATTGTTATTACTTAATCAGGGTATACACATAGAATCTAATTATTTGAGTAAAATAATCATATTAAATTTTTAATTTTTATTACAAATAGAAAATTTATTAATAATTTTTGTGATTAATAAAATAAAAAGTAAGAGAGAAATGAATAAGAACATTTGTATAACAATTGATCCTTATTAATAAAAGGTAATTGAATGGTTTGAAGTGGTGTAAATTCAGATAGAAGTAATATTAATCAATTTATTAGATTTCATTCAACAAAATCAACTCTTACTTAGATTCCCTTCTTAATACNATGAATTTCTGAGACTTACTATATAAGTAATAATACCATAGCTTTGTTTTTTACTTATTCAGCCATTCAGATGAAGAATTACTAATACAACGTAAGATCGAGCTGAAAAGGGTATTATTAAGGTAATGACAATCTCCATAAATGACACGAGTTTCACTTTTCTAATCAATTTTATTTGTTAATTAAGTATTTCTTTCAATTTTCAGTATTAATGGCTAAATCTAATTATAACTATTGTTTTTTTAAAAGAGATATTTTTGAAAATTTGAATCTGAATCTGATCTAATTAGTAACACTCTTTTTAAGTTATTTTTCTTTAGTCTGTCTCTGATAATTTAGCCTATTAATTATGCCGGTCTATTTTAATTAGACGCTACTTCATATGATGAATTGGCATTAGTATATATATATACTTTCTTCTCTTGTTTTTCCAATCACACATGAAAATATTAAGTTTTTTCTTTGATTAACTAGCAAACTATTAACATTTATGGCATGATTTGGTATTTTGTTTTCATCAATCAATAAGTGTCCTGATTAATTGATTTATACGATTTTTAATGTAGTACGATTTAGACTTGAAATCTATTCTGATGATGGATGGCCAATCTAAAATGAATTTCCTGCAATATATTCTAAAACTGACTAATAGGATGCTGAAATTATCTAATGGTCTAAGAGTTCTTTTTGGATCGGTTTAAAACATTTTCGTTCCCCATATCCCCTTCTCCTTCTCCTTCATCATCTTAATTGGGTGTTTGGCAGAAAGATCACACAAAAGATGTTGATTGTTATAAGTTATCATAGAGCTTTGTGCAATGACCTGTGTTTTTGGATTTTGAAAGTTTAAGAAATATTCTTTATTTGAAAATCATTATAGGATATGATAACGCAAAGGAACTAAATTTGGTTGAGAGTAAATTAAAAATAGAACATATGAAAATAATTGCTTGTTAAAAATTAATTTTGATAAAAACTGTATATTTTTATATGCTTCCAATAAAAAGTTTGCTGCAAAACAATAATAACTAAACAAAATGTTATTATACTCCTTCTACAAGGAATTTACTTTCATCATGATTAATTGTCAACAAAAAATAGAGCTAGAAGTTTTTATAGAAATTTAGATAAATTTTTAAATTAAAAGGGACAACTATAAATTTTTATTATTTAGATCATCAGATTACCTATTTCCGAAAGATCACTGATCTGTTTGCCTAGCACTTTCGTTTACATTATAAACGTGGCATGGCTATTTAAAAATGCATGATTAATATAAATTAAATTGATGAATATTTAAAAGTATCTGAATGATATAGCTTCTAGTTAGTGATAGAAAATTTTTCTTTTAATATTTAATAGTAAAGATTAGATATAAGTTTATGTTATTAAATAATGAACAAGGCCATGATTAATAAAAAGAATTACTTTGAATGTGGTTGGAATATATGAAATAATTGGTTTAATCATTGTTATTACTTAATCAGGGTATACACATAGAATCTAATTATTTGAGTAAAATAATCATATTAAATTTTTAATTTTTATTACAAATAGAAAATTTATTAATAATTTTTGTGATTAATAAAATAAAAAGTAAGAGAGAAATGAATAAGAACATTTGTATAACAATTGATCCTTATTAATAAAAGGTAATTGAATGGTTTGAAGTGGTGTAAATTCAGATAGAAGTAATATTAATCAATTTATTAGATTTCATTCAACAAAATCAACTCTTACTTAGATTCCCTTCTTAATACTACCTAGCTTGAACTTAACTATGATTGATAATTCAAACTTTGGTTAATAATTTTGTTAAGATATATAACCATCAATCATAAATAACGTTAACAATAAAATATATGGAAAGATTATTTATTAAATAAAACATAGAAAAGTTAAGAGATATAATCACTCCCTAATTAATCAAATATGAAGCCGTTCACTTATCAACTAATCTCAGAATATTCAATTTAATAATTTGAATGGTTTAGTGCAATAACCATTAATAAAGATTGTACAATATTATTGGCTGGACGGGATAACAAATTAAAGTATTTGAATACAAGTAAGGAATGGCTGAACAAACTTAAATTTGAAATGAACACAAGTCACATGTTTATACTCTAAACTTCATGAAGAAATTAAATTAGTTTATATCTGGGAGTTGTAATAAATCTATTATTATATGATATTAAAATTAAAATAATTAATGGATTTCCTAATACAAATTAAATGGACATAATAATAATATTATTTATTGTTTAATATTAAATAGTAATGAAGATTTAATTGTATCAGGAAGTGATGATTATAAAATTAAATTGTGGATGAAAAGAATGAATGGTCTTGATAGTAAACAATTAAAGATCGTTTTGAAAATGGTTTGAGTTTTAATTAATATGAAAATAGAGTTGTCTCTTGTGGTGTAGATAAATTAATATTCATAATGGAACAATAAGGATAGAATCAAGATTGGATTATAATATAAAAAATCACAGTTGAATAAATTGTGATCGAGTTTGTTTTGTAAAATGTGGATCAGATAATTATTGTTTATTTCCTTAATAATATATAAATTCAAAATGTAGCCTTATGAGTAAGAATAGCTCATATGTAAATTTGATAAGGAAAAAATTAAATGGATAGTTTGTAACTTAATAATCTTATCATTGTAATGCATATGAGTTATTTTGAGTAATGAGCGATGATGGAGAGTATTTGATCACTTTGGATAGTAACTTATATTAAATACAAATCAGAAGATATCAAGAATAATGATATTATTATTATTCATTTTTCCAAAAATAAAATTATTTTGCTTTATTAGTTCATGGCCATAATCTAATAATTTCGAGAATTTTTTGTATATAAAAGAATAATAATTTGGTAATTGAAATTTAAACTATAATTTAAGTATTTTGATAATGTGATTATAAAACTATTTTTTTTAAATTAACTTATCATTAGTATTATCTAATTCGTATAGAAATTAAATATTATTA